GATTATGATGATGCTGCTGACAATGCCAATGCTGATACTGCTGATGATGCCGATGACGACGTCGATGTCGATGACGTCGATGACGACACGATGGTGATGATGCTGATGATGATGACGATGCTGATTATGCTGATGATGCTGCTGATGATGATGCTGCTGTTGCTGATGGTACTGCTGATGATGACGGATATGCTGATGCTGATGTTGTTGATGATGGTGACGGTGGTGGTGGCGGTGTTGATGGCGGTGGTGGTGTTGATGAGGATGAGGATGATGATTATGCTTCTGCTGTTGATGACGAGGATGATGATGCTGATGATGCTGATGATGATGATCATCATGATGATGGTGATGGTGATGGTGATGGTGATGGTGGCGACGACGTCGGCGAGGAGGAGGAGGCGGAGGAGGAGGATGATTATCGGCTGCGTCTAGTAGGCGTACAAGAGATGAGGAACCAGCGCGTTGTTGGGCTCTGTCGTGTAGCCGCAACTGCGCGCTGCAGCCGCAACGGCTGCCCGATGGTCCGACACACCGTGTTGTGTCTGCACCCCGCCGCGCGGGTGTGACGGCCAACAGTGGCTGGAGAGCGACTCCAGCCAGGCAGTACGGCCGAGGGCGAACGAGGCAAGGCGACTTTGGTAGGTTCGCGTCGTGTCGACTGGCGGCGACCCCGCCGCCAGCGGTCAACGTTGAACGACTCCCCTGGCCCAGAATCTGTCGATGTTGAACGATCTGACGTTTCGAAAACGGCCGATTGTTCAAGGTTGAACGATTCCCGCTGTGTCATCAAACAACCCCGAAGTCGGCACGACACGAACCTGCCGTACAGAGAGGATGGCCCACCGAACGTCATCAACAAAGAAACAGAGGGATTTGATGAAGCACGCCTCCGTGAAGCACGCCTCCTGTGGCACGCCTCCATGAAGCACGCCTCAAGGAAGCGCGCCGCGATGAAGCGCGTCACGATGAAGCACGCCTGATGAAGTACCCCCCCTGATGAAGCACTGCCCGATGCAGAACACCATGATGAAGCCGTCCACGACAGTGAAGCATTCCACAATGCAGTGCTCCATGATGAAGCACTCCGCGAAACATCCTTTGCTGACGCACTCCAAGGTGATGCGCTCCACGCCGAAGCACTCCTTGGTGAAGCAGTCCCTTGGAAACACTCCTTAGTGAAACACTTTTTGATAAAGCACTCCTTGGTGCACGCTTCCACGAGAAACGCCGCCAGGAAGCGTGGCATCTTTGAGGCACGCCGCGAAGATGCACGCCTCCCTGAAGCATGCCTCCGATCAAGCACAGCGAAGAGCCCCCGAAGGAGCCCTCCACGACGTACCGTTCGTTCCACAATGAAGCACGCCGGATGAGGAGACCCTCGATGACATCCTTCCCGAGGCAGCTCGCCACGGCGAAGCACGCACGTACTCGGTGAAGCACGCGCTCCGCTTGGATGCACGCCTCCGTGAATCGTGCCTTCGTGACGCACGCCACGATGAAGCGCGCCACCTTGAAGCACGCCTCTCCGAGGAACCACGCAACAATGAAGCCCTCCAGGAAGCCCTCCTCGATGAAGCACACTACCCCGAAGTCCACGATGAAGCTTCTCACAATGAAGCCCTCGATGGAACCCTCCACGACCTATCGCTTCGCGATGAAGCACGCCACTCCCTGAGGAAACATGCTTCCGTGAAGCACTCCACGATGGAGCACGCCACGATGTAGCACGCCCCAATATCACACCCAACAGCGAAGCACCCTCCACGAAACACTGCTTGGTGAGGCACGCCAAGATGAAGCGGTCCACGATGAAGCACTCAACGAAACACTCTGAGACAACGATTTTTGATTAAATGCCCCACGATGGTGCGCGCCCCGAAGAAGCGCGACAATATGACACAGCGTTGGTAGCCGACTGGAGAGCGCAAGCCTGCGCACCAGGAAACCACGAGGTAGATCACACGACGCTGCTGATACAGTAGCACCAGATGGATAGGCCAAGCCCATTGACTGCTTGGCGCCGACGCCGTCATCTTACGAAGGACACTTGGGACCCAGCCAGCAGAGGTGGTTCTCCACCCAGTAGCGTGACGCGAGATGCGTGCGCACCTCGTGGAAGGAAGAGACGAGAAGCGACAACGACCGTACCGGGAACCCCACCTCGCGACGCCGGTACTGAAGTCGGTTATTCGCGGTCATCGGCTCCGTGAAGTAGGCGTACAGGAGATGAATCAACAGTGTGCTGTTGGGCTCTGACGAGGGGACGCAGAAGCGCGGTGTAGCCGCAGCGGTTGGCTGATGTTCTGACACACCCTGTTGTGTCTGCACCCCGCCGCGCAGGTGTGACGGCCAACAGTGACTTGAGAGCGACTCCAGCCAGGCAATACGGGCCCGAGGACGAACGAGACAAGGCGACTGATGATTATGATGATGATGATGCTGATGCCGATGATGATGACGACGATGATGATTATGATCATGATGGTCGGGTTACTGC